ATGAAATCATATCATAAATATAATTCAGTATTTAGAATTAAATGGATTTTTTACTTGCAGTGGCTCCTTATTTCATTTATTCATAATATAAGAATGGGCACCAAATAATAACTATAGACACACGAAAGAAATGTAATTGCTATCACTGCAAAAAAAATATTTTATATGAGTTTTTCGGTTTTCATTGATATTGGACAACAGGTATTGACGACGTAATCATATTATAATCATAGAGACTTTGACAGTCAACATAATAAATCATTATTAGTATAAATTGTACATTGAATGTCTTATTCCATCTATTAGAAAATAAGTATTATGTATAATAGATTTATGTCACAAGTACAGTCGTTACATGAGCCTGTAAGAATGCGAACGATGAAAATAAAATCTTTCTTTTATAAAGATTCATGATTTTTTTTTCTCTAGTCTCTATTCTTATGTAAATCCAACGATTGAATTTTTATCTATCTTAATTTCATTACGTATGCGACTAACTAAACTTGAATATACTACGTGATTTATAAAAATATTTACAAAAAGAAAAATATTTTTTTAGTTTTATTTTCGAAGCTTCGTTTGTATGTGTGCATGCGCGCGTATAATTATCACGATTATACTTGTTATTTGCAAACGGGAGTTGAATAACAAAGTAAATTTTCATAGATTTTAAATAACTTTCTAATAAGAAAAAAATCTTGAATGCAATTTACTGCCAACGTAGAATATGAATTCAGGATTAGATATTCACATGAATACCATGTGCTTTTATAGTTTCAAGAGATATTCGAAATATCACATTTACATGGTTAAGATTAAATGAAATAATAGGGAATTGAATATCGACAAATTTTTCGAAATTAAGATTTCGAATAGATGCGAAGTGATTCAATCGAAATGAAATATAATTAATATAATTTAATTTCATTTAGGTCTTGGTTTATTTTGTGATTTATTGCCAACTTGTGTGCCACCTCCACGGCCTAATGGTGCTGGACCTCTTCCTCCTCTGCCAAAGGTACCTGTGTAAAACAAATTATAAGTTATAAATTGCTCAGAATATTTTTCAGAGAGTGATTATTATCTTTTAAAAGATAACAAAAGTATAAAATAAACATATATATATATTTCATAGGAATATGAATTTATCTACTTGTTTTTTTGAATCTTGACTTTCAAGAAATCCATTTTCAGTCACAACAAAAGTTACAGAATTCTTCAACATTCCCATCGAGGGAAAAATCTATTAGCCAAAAAGTCGATAGTTCGAAAAAAATACATTTAGTTTAGAATCATTCTATAGGAAAAATCTGTGATTCTATAAGACAAGATCGCTTACCTCTACCACCACCACGTCCCCTCTGATTCTGGCCTCGACCTTTCATTTCACCACGTCCTCTCGATTTCATCTGTATATCTTCCTTCACCATGTCTATCACTTCATCAGGAATTCTTAAATACTTTATTGTACTGCCTCTTATATAGCATTCTGGCATCCTCCAAAATTTATCACCATCCTAATACAAAGTTCAAATTAATCAATGTTTATAAATCAAACTTCTCCCAAAATATTTTGAATTAAAAATCAAGTACTTAAAAATACATAGAAAATTAGAAAAATAGTAAATGTAAATACTTGGATATGTGATAATATTAAATATTTCAAACTTTTACTACATTTTAGTTTTTAATACGAAGGAAACGATTTCAACATAACTTTTTCGGATTATCTTTTTGTTTGTTTCACGGATTTGTTTAATTAAATTTGTTCGACGAGCGATAAAATAAGAAGTCTTTCTAGCATCAGCGTACACAATAATGCTCTTACCCTTGACGTACATATAACCTCCCTAAGGTTTATGTTCATCCAGTTATCGCAGCTGACTAAATGGCCGTTATATGTTTCCCCATTTTTTAATTCCACCAACTGTAATAAAAGATTGTAACACATAAGGACTTTTTAAATGTTCTTCAAGAGATATTATTGCAAAAATTCGGCACTTACCATAGGATGGTTTTGCGCTGTTTTTAACAAAGTCAGAGGCAACTGAAACAATTAAAAAAAATATATATAATATATATTAACAAAGAGAAGTTCATTTTTAGAGATATTGATTTTTTATTTGAAATAAGGTGCTACAAACTTACCATAATTATTCAGAATGCGCTTCTCAAGGTTATATGTCAATAGTCCGATTGCATTTGAAAATAATCATCTGCGAGCGCCAACTATCGGTGAGGTTTACCCTTCCAAAGTACATATATATAATGCACTAAAAAACTAATTATACTAATTATATATATATATATATATATATAAATACTATTTATATATATAATAAATTATTATTTATATATATAATAAATATTATTAATTATAAATTTATATATATATTTTTTTCTGCATATTAATCTAAATTCCAATTCAAAATCTAAATTATTCGGATTACAATTTTAAATCCAAATAATTCGGATATCCAAATTATTAAATAACTTAAATAATGTGATGATTCTGAATTTTTAGATCAGAATCGATTTCGAAAATTTAAATATTTAAAAATTCAATATAATACGTGAGTTGAATAAATTAAAAAAATATAAAAAAGATAATATAAATTAGACTAATTAAACAGTTCAAAGTTCAGTTTAAATTATCTTCCAGCTCAAAAATTTAGGTATAAATATTTGTTCAAGCTTAAACAAAATATATTCACATATTTCTAAGTACAGTTTCTCATACTAAGGAAAAATGAATCCTTTTTAAGATAATGATTTATAAAATTAGCTCAATTACGTTACAAAAGTTGTATGAATAAAAAATTATATTCGCTGTCTTAATTACAATTAAAATTTAATTAAAAGTGAGAAACATTGACATTAAATTAAAATATAATTTTTAAAAAATTAGACTAAACAGTTATAACGCGGAACAAAAAGTTTAAACTTAGAAAAAAGTTAAAGTTTATGTTCTAAAAAACAATCGGTTGAAATTAAAAATTAATTTAATAACATATTTAATTTCTAATACATGTTACAATCCTAGTTTAACAACCTTTAATTCTTATTTCTAATTAATTACAATCTTGACATACATATCTTATTGTAAATTTTATTTTTTATTTATTGATTCTCGCTAAAAAACTTATTTTTAAAAGTATGTTTGGATTCTTATTTTTATAACTGATCAATAGGAAGAGTACAAGATAGATAAATAGATTATGACACGAGAGAAATCGTAAAATATATATTAGCGCGACGTCTAAAAATGAACTCATTCACATTTATCGATGTCACATCGAAACTTGTTGTCTGCCCCTACGTCGATCTACGTGATCTACCGATAATAAACCATGTGCAAGTCCGATTTTAGGCCAAATCGCCCGATCGATATACGTATCACAGCCGTTCATTCAGCTCGCCCGTTGCATAATGTGGGATTTACATAAATAGAGCAGTTTCGTGAATGAAAGCGTCTCGCGACGTCACGATACCAAAACTCAATCGACCCGCCACGTCACCTCTGACAAGATCTTGATCGAATAACACAATCTTCAATTCATTCCTCGCAGATCTCGCACTTCTAGGGTGATGAAGTATCTTATAAAATGCATCGTATCGTAACAGAAAAAAATGTTCTTTTTGCGAGAGAAATTTCCACAAAATTTCGCAACGTTGATGGACAATGTTGATTTTCACATTGATCTTAATCAAATGTAAGTACGTTTTCAATAATATATGAACTTCTTAAGAAATCGATATTTCTAAACGTGGAAAAATTCACAAATCTCAATTTTATAATTATTTAATAAGATAAAATACGCATTCTCGACTTCGATTACACGCATGGGGTCATGCGGATTACATGCGCCTAGGCTACTACAACATTATTATTAATAAATCCAGCAAGTATATGGCGTTCTGTAAGAGTCTATGACGCTTCGTAAGAGTTACATCGGGATGCTTCTTTTGTTAATCGGAGATCCTATTGTCCTCTTCTGTGTTTACATTCGCCAACAATGCTATGTTGAATCTTCAAATGGACGTACGAATGCGACCGTCGCCGATTCCTTGCAGCACGCAAGCTCGCGGGTAAAGTATATACCCGGCTCATGCGGACTCATCCGGTGAAAAACAACTTGCTCGCTCGCTTGTTCATTCGCTCGTTCGCGCGCGCGCGCGCGCGATACTCAGCATTGTCGCACGCGGCATTGCCTCGTCGCCTTACGCGGACTCTCGTCGGCACGACAATTGGTCGCCACGAAACTGGAAGCGAGGATCTTGAACGTGCTCCCACGCACACCTGACGTCTGAAGTGTAAATTGTGAGTATGAATCGTCACTCCGCGGACTCGTCTTCACGATCGCGAAAGAAACGATTTTTCTTTTTTTTTTTCATTAATAAAAAAACACTACTGCGCAGTGTTCACGGGTAATTCTAAATACAAATAATTCTTGCAAGTTCGAGTTGTAAATAAATTCAACTTTAAAATTTATAAATAAATAAATAAATCCAATTAATATTATATTCCAGTTTTGATTTTTTTACGACGATTTTTACGACATATAAGATGTATAATCTTAAAATATTTTTTATATTTCCTGATTCTGACATTAAGATTATACGGTCTCTTTTATATTGAAATAATTCAATTCATTAAATCTATGGATAATAACGTAACCGTGTTGCGGAAGTTCGTAATTTCCGCAAGGACTTATCATTAGACTATATGATATATTATTATCTGAATGTTTTGCTCAGAGTCTTATGATACAATTCGCTTGCCGATCACGCTTAACCGATAATGTGGTATGAAAGATAAGCGATGATATGCATAATTTGTGTGATATACATAATTCTTTTTTCGCATGATATACATGAGGTTGCGAGCGATCGGCGATGGAACTTGATCGAAAACGTAATCGCTGATGCGCCAACAAATTAAGCTAGCGATAGGTTTGAGTGAGTGATGTCATCCGTTATTGGTGTGCTAGCCAAAACTGAATAGATAGAACGCGGATTAAATACAGGGAGACGCAGAAGTGAAAGAATGCACCTGAGATCCTCCGAGATCAGAGCCGCCTTCGCGTGACATTCACGAGATATGGATTGATGAATTAATGGTTGTCAAATCTACGAAAAAAGTTGCAGAAACAAAGCAATACAAAATGTACTCATCCGAAGTACTAGATCGCGTTATCTCTAATCAAATAGTACTATCAGTATGATATACGTTAAAAAAGATAAGTGCAAATCCTTCCTCGCAGATAAGATCACAAGAATTATGCGTATCATATGCAGATACCTCACATTAAATGAAATGAATAACAATTTTCCTTTTCATATGTCAACCTATGATGCGAAGATAATTGCCAATCTATACTTGGAACTAGATAGACCTACTGTGCTTTCTTTTGTCGAGCAATAAAGTAGCAAATACCGCGGGCGGCTAATGACGTTTCTTAATTTCATGTCGTTGCGATAAATTATTCGTAAGAAAGACCTCGCGATCTTTAACGAACGATCCGCCTGTCCCAATTCCGCGGAAAGCTAAGCCTTCAAAAAAATAACCGAAACGATAATCGCAAACTCGCAAATGTGGATTGAAGTGGGAAAATATGTATCGCGTGATACCGATGAAAGATGACGATCATCGATTCGATGGGTAGCACGAACAGTCGGCGTATGTGTATGTATAGTAATATCGGTGGAGACACAGAAATGAGTTGGTGCCGTGCGTAAGTCCAATAGGACCTCGTCTTGACCTCGACTTGCTCGAATGGTTACTACAACGTGTAATCATTTGCCGCCTACGTGATTACAAGCGACCGCCACGTGATTACGCGTACACGCTTCATTTACGTTCCGTGAAAAGGATAGATGACTCGAGGCTTATATTTCCGAAGTATCGACTTTTCCTGTGCCTGAAAACAGATCGCGTTCATTACTGTCTTAAAGTGCTTGAGCCTTATAGTCTTTTCTAGGCGTAAACATCCTCTCAAAAAAAAAAAAAATTATATATATATATATATATATATTGATAAT